ACGATTATGGAATCCTCCACAGAATAGCTTGAACAAGGGTCTTGAAATTAGCTACGGAATCCACTCAAAGCTAAAGAAAATATGTAAATTATCGAGACACACTCAAGAACTCAAAACACTGATGTTGGAGCAATTTTCATTCAACAATAATCTTCTCTACTTTAGAACGAAAACGAAAACAAGAACTCAAAACCTAATGCAAATCTAGACTAACAAGGAAACGAATTAAATTAGAAGAATAGTCTAAAAAGGACACAAAATTCGGCCATAACTCTCTTTCTTCAAGCACAAGTAAGCTGCCTTTTATCACAAGCAAACTGCCAGAAAAACAGTTTTCGTACTAACTTTGTGCTATTCGTTCGAGGCCTTACAGAACTCCAATCCTTCATCCAATCCCTTCCCTTTGTACACAAACATACCTAGTTTCATGTTGTGGAAGCTTTTGGACTTGAATCAGATCCATGCTCCTCGAATGGAGCTCCAAAGTAGGCTTCACAAAACAGTTTTCTGCCTTAGCCATTTTCTGGCAGTTTTCAGCATTCCAGATACACTTTTGAACAACCTAGAAAATGACCTTATGGACTTCCTCTCGAGCTCCAGAGCATGCCAATGGATAGATAAACATCTCATCTTCAAAATGAACCATCAAACTCGAATTTACACCGAGCCAATTAAGATCTATGGCCTCCCAAAGTAAGCACCCAGAAACTGCCAAAACACTAAACCAGATTTTCACCCTTCTTTGGCCAATTGAGATAGCTTCTTTGTCAAGCAACTGAGACTTGTAGAATCGGCCATTTTGGATTGTATCAACTTGTGGTTGTCCCCTCTCCTCTATCCTTCTTCTTGCTTCCGCTAGCTCCCTCTCCCTCTCACGAGCCAAGAGTCAGAGAGTTCGATTGAGATTCTCGTCCACTGGCGCCAAAGGTGTCGGATTACTCCGGCTTATATACCTTCCTGCACACACTCAAAAGAACCACAACTCGATATATGGCAAGTATGTTTTAATATCAACCTGGGTCGGTCCATGTACCCCTACTTCGATTGTGGTGAAAAGTAAATGGATTAGACACTAATCGAGAAGGATTCAGCCGGGTGTTGCTCCCCCTAGCTAGCAATTATGATTTGTCGGATCGAATGAACACGTATGGTAAGGAGGTTGTAAACTGTAGGGAAATGCAACAAGTGAACAAATGCCACTCTCTCAGTCAATCGGTCAAGGGAATTCAATTCAAGCTACCAAAGTAGCTCTCCTGACCAATTGAATAAGGGTTGCCAAGACTTCACCCTCGAATTGGAGTTCGGATGGCCAAATTAAAACCAACCATAGGTGCTAATATGAATAAGAGGTTTGCCCTAGTTTAATCTAAGTACGAGGCAAAGATTGCCCAAGGAAACCCAGCTTTTACAAGCCTCTTCAAAAGAAGGGGATTTCCCTCTACCTAGGTAAAGATAGCATAAGACATTGAAATGCACAAAAACAATTAATCTTCATGAAAATGCCTCGTAACATTGTATCAAAACACACCCTCACACAAATCATTCAAGCCATACAAACATTCACATAATTGTAGGTAGGGTTTACAAACGCCCAATTGAAATAAGGGACTACTCCATGCTAGGAGAATGGAAAACACAAGGGAGAAGAAGGGAAACCATCATGGAGATGCTAGCCTTGCTCTTTGTGTTGAAGAGATCCTCCTTTGGGGAAGGAATTCTCAAAACCTTGCTTGAAGATAAAACTCTAACTTCTTCCCTTCTTTGGTTCGTCACTTTCTCACTCTAGAAATATGAATAAGATGAAGTTTCTCTCACTAGGTCTCTCCTCCTTCTTCCTTCGGCTCAAGCATCTTTAATACCCAGCTCGAGCTCGATTCACGGTTGTGAACATATGGCGGGGACCGTGATTTTGAGCAAAAATGCACCGCAACATTTATGTTCTTCACGGTCTATGGCTTGGGTTCGCGGTCTTACGATCGTGAACTGACTTGAGTCCAGTGAGATCGAAAATGGCTCTAGATGCATGGCGCTTCACGATTGCTAGCTTCAGTTCATGGTTCTCCTGACTGTGAACTATCTGCTTCTGCCGTGATCTGCGGCTGCCTCCATCCTTTGGCCCGATTTTGCGTCTTTTCGTCCAACTTTCGACTCCGGGGCTGGTTCCACCTGCTTGGGTCTGAAACATGCTACAACAAGGCAAAATTTAACGTAAAACCACACCTGTTTGGGAAAGGGTGTAAATAGAGGAGGGGGGGGGGGGGTGCAAGCTTGGGGGTAAACACAAGTTTCAAGGTGTTTACCCCCGTTTGGTTATTTTGTAACAGTAGGGGGTGCAAAACATGAGCGTAAGTTCACTATTTCGGCTTACCCCCCAAATTGGGGTGCAAGGGAAGGAAGGAAGGAAGGAAGGAAGGAAGGAAGGAAGGGGGAAGTGGGAGGAGAGGAATTATGGATATTTAATTAGATTATAATTACATAATAATTAATATTATTAATTTTTTATATCTATATTAATGTTGAAGTTGTTTGGGGCTGACCGTTTGACTCCAAGAGCAAGTTTGTCAATGTTCGTCTAGTCAAATTGATATCTCTTGGTTGACCCGAATTTGCATTGAAAATTAGAGATACGAAGCGTTTGTTGAAAAGATAGAGAGGAACAGTTTAGTTGACTCGATTTACAATAAGTAGTTAAAACTTACAGGTTCGAACGTTTTTTACTAAGTTTGACCATATTCAATTTAAAGTTAGGCACGAGAACCCCCTTAGGATGACCAGTTACGAGTTGAGTTTCAAGTTTCGAGGTTGCTCGACCAATGATTATTATTGTTGTTATAAATAATTATATTTTAGCATTATTGTAGGATAATTATTTTTATTAAAAATATAATAATTATTATTTATTGAATTTCCATTTTATTATTTTGTGATAATATTTTATGAATTGATAAATCTATATTATAGTAATATAATTACTTACTTTTCCCTCTATTTGCGCCCCCTACTTTTTCATCCAAACAACAATATACCCCTCTACTTACACCCTCCACCAAGTTGCACCCCCAACAATTTACCACTCGAACTTGCACCCCTTTGTTGCCAAACATAGTGGAAAAATAGGGTAAAACTTGTACAATTAGGCCCGAATCAGGCGGAAAGGAAAAGCGAGATGGGAAAAGGGAGAAGACGAGAGCTTGTACGTTTTCGCGACCTTGTTTTTATTCACAATATTTATGTAAATATTTTTATTTCCGCTATATTTGTGATAATGTATATTTGTTAAACAATATTTACGTAAATCACTTCTGCTTAGTGCTTCTCCCCACTCTGAAGTCTGAAGACAACAAATATTGAACTGAATCGCTAAATGTCGCCCTAAGAATTGCTAAACATCGCCCTAACTTAAATATAAAATTACTTATATACTCTTAAACAAAAACTCAAAATTGGCTTAAACAAACAAGCCCTTAGCAATTCAAATTCATTCCCCTCCCCCCTCACCCGCCCTTTCAAACAAAAAAAGCTCTGTCTCACCCGCGACAGCCGCCACTGTCTCACCCGCGACAGCCGCCGCCGATCTCGCCCTCAGTCACCCGCGACAGCTCTCACCCGCGACCGCCGATCTCGCCCGCCAGTCGCCGCCGCCCGCCAGTCGCCTCCGTCCGTCGCGTCGTCCCCGGAGAAGACCGCCGCCGCCCGCCAGTCGCCAGTCGCCTCCGCCCGTCGCGTCGTCAACGGAGAAGACCGCCGGGGAAGGTACCGCGATGGCCCCCGGTTAGACCGCCGGCTGACTGCGGTCAACGCGCGGTTGGACCGCCGGCTGACCCTTTTTTTTTTAATTTTGTCATTTTATTATTCAATAAATATTAATAATAAAAAATGATTAAAAAATATACTTAATAAAAATAATTTAGTTATATATTTTGTCAATAATGAAATAAAAATTTTAAAAACGTATTCGGTAAATGTTAATTAATGATAACAAATTTAAAGAACATTATAAAAAATTTAAAAATGTAATTTTATCATTTTAATAATCAAAATTTCAAAGTAATTCATTTATCTACTTAATTATTAATAATTTTACCTTGCTTAATTATTTACTTTTATATAAATAATGATTACATAGAACGTAACATAAATGTTGAAACTATTAAATTTATAATTTAAATTATGAAAATCTTAAATTAATTACTTTATGTACTCTATTATTAATAATCCATTATTAATAATTCAAACTTTTTTTTGAAGATGTTCGGACATGGAATGGGTAAACCGGATATGATTAAGGCAAGAAATAAGGAGAGAGTGGAAGGTCGTGCTTGTAGACTTACGACGACTGGTAGGAAGGAAAGGTTAGAAGGAAGAAGAAGAAGGCGGATGTACTGCGTCCTGACGGCCACCCTACTGTGGGGCAGTTGTCTCTTAGTCGAGGTACTACCAGTACTCCTACACCAGATAGCGCACCGGTATGGCAGGCTAATTGGATTGATTTCATTGACGAGGATGATGATGATGACGGTGATGATGAGGTTGGGAATGCCCCAGATGCTGGTGATGATGCTTGTGATCGTGCTGGTGATGCTGAGATTGAGGATGCCCCACCTCAAGCTGATTTAGGCGTGGGGAAGACGGCGCGGGTCGGGATATCTTCTACTGCCTCCTCCCACTTACGTGGGCCCGATGGACGCTATGCGTCCAGACCTAGTAGCGAGGATGGCGGAGATGGAAATAGGAAGAGGAAGACCACGAGGAAAGATATGTCGTGGTTTCTTACAGCCGAGTCTCCGATGTGTTCAGGTGGACCAGTGATTCCCGATGTGATCCCTAGCTTTGAAGGTCACATTGGCTTTGTACTGTGGAATTCCCCTGAGCAGGACCATGGAGTGTTGGACGGCTTCCATAGGCCGAGAGCTGTAGAGACTTTGAGGCGATATAAGTGGAGTGCAGAGGGTTCCAAGGAGATGGTTGAAGCCACAAGATTGTCTCACTTGACAGGGTGCATGATGCAGCATTTAGACATGGCTCTATTGTCGGCATTTGTGGAGAGGTGGCAGCCGGACACAAACACCTTCCACATGCCGTTTGGAGAGATTTCGATCCTTCTACATGATGTGCATCACATTCTTCGGATTCCGGTTGACGGAGAGCTGATGGGAGATGAGGCGTCGCAGGATACTCTTAAGTCAGACATGGGTGGTCTAGTTCGACTTTCGGTGGATGCTCAGGTTGGTGGTAAGTGGAAGTCTAAAGGGTACGATAATGGTGCTATGCATGCAGAGGGATTGTTGGTGCGTGGGGGAGAGCTGAAGATTAAGGAGATGGAGGTGCAGTGTTACCTATTTGTGTTACTGGGATCCACGCTTTTTGTGGATAAGAGTCGTGATCGCCTTCGTCCTGCGATCAACTTGTTTCTGAAGGATCATCGACGATTGACTGATTACGCTTGGAGAGCTGGTTCACTAGCCTATCTCTACAGACAGTTGGGAGTGGCCACACGAGCGGGTAGTAAGGGTCTTTGTGGTTGTTTGACCCTGTTTCAGGCTTGGATATATGAGTACTTTCCTCTATTCCGTCCGAGCCAGCTGCCGCAGTCTCCGGATGCACCTCGTGATTCCTCGTGGATTTCTCCCCGTTTGCCAGGTGGGGATGAGGCTAGACAGAGGTTAGTACGTTATCGACAGTTGTTGGATGAGCTTTCAGCTGATGATGTGACCTGGACTCCGTACGGACGAGATGGCCACACAGATATACCCCGCTCCTTGTATACTAGCCCCATTCGCTTTTCTGACATTGCTGAGGGATACGATCCTGCACGTTGTCTGCGCCAGTTTGGATACCGACAGATTATCCCCCGTGCTATGACAGTACCACATGACTAGTACCGTCCGACTTCCGGCAGCAGTTACATAGTCTTTTGAGATCCGTGGGTGAATCAGTTGTGGGATAATGTGGCAGCCCGTCGTCTAGATTTGGATTTTGCTTCTCGGCCGTGCGAGCACCCATCGGAGATCGTGGAGGAGTACGTTGACTGGTTTCTGACTAGATCGCACCCACGGATCACCCACCCCACTGATGGGGTGCCTAGCCTCGACCACTACTAGTTCATCAGGTTAGTTATGACTTTCTTTTGCTTTTCCAAATATAAAGGACATTTGTTATTTATTCTAACATTGTTTTCTATTTACAGTTGAGAGAGCAGATTGTGGATCGTTTAGGTCCCGTGTTGCTGACGAGGGACCGGAGTAAGTGGGAGGAGGACGGTGGTAAGTTCTATGATATGGTAGCTGGGGTTTTCGAGTTGTATGACCAGTTGGTAGGGCAGCCGCCTCAGTAGACGATTGTGTTTTTTATTTGTCATCGTTTGTAGTTGAACTGAGACTATTGTGTTTTTTATTTGTCATCGTTTGTAGTTGAACTGAGACTATTGTGTGTTTTATTTGTCATCGTTTGTAGTTGAACTGAGACTATTGTGTGTTTTATTTGTCATCGTTTGTAGTTGAATTGAGACGGTTGTGTTTTTTTTACTTTAGTTACATTCAATGCATTGCTAAAATAGTTAATCCACATGGTAGATTACTAAATGTTTCAACAATAGAGAGTTATACAATTCGTAAATATACTTCCAATCTTCATCCCCGTGGGTTCAATCTATCATAAAGCGCACACTCATGTAAGAAGAATTTATCCCACCCATTGACACTAGGGTCATGAAAAATAGGCCAAAGGCCATTAATTGGAGGCATGGGCACTTGACCATGTCGAAAGTCAAGTCGCACCCAATGATCCCCCGTAAAATGTAGTGATAAGATCCCACGTGGTCTTGTTACTCCTGGTGGGGCCGTCACAGGTATCACGGTATAACGACCGCCTTGACTGTATACAACGATGGCCCATGAATGCAAGGTGGCAAAGACGAAGAGTTCCGCATTATCCATCCAGTTGGGAGGTCCACAGCCACTTGTTGATGCCCACCTGCAACGTCGAATGCCATTTTCTATTCCATTTGATATTCCATCATAGTAGTCTCTATAAAGCTCAGGACGGGATTCAAGCTCCTCTACGACAGTGAGTCTCATTTGTGGCCAATTCCTTTGGTCCCCAGTAACTGCTTGTGATATAGCTCGAAATCCACAGTGTCCATCTGGAATAGGGTTGAACCAACCACGAACTAGTAGTTTCACGTAGGATTCCAAACAATGTAGCCATGGGTAATTCTTCCAACTAGTATTGGGAATCCGAGCAACCCTCCACGGGGAACCATCTAGCCAAAGAGCATAACACAATAAATTAATACAAAGAGTTATACAATATGTTTACCCGAAATTAGGAATATAATTTCTAACCTGTATCATTATGGATCACCGACTCCGTCCCATTCTCGAAGTTGGTTTGTGCATTCCCATTCGGTGCACCATCTAGATGAAGAACATAATAGAATAAATTAATACAAAGAGTTACACTATATGTTTACCCGAAATTAGGAATATAATTTCTAACCTGTATCATTATGGATCGGCTCCGTCTCATTCTCTAAGTTGGTTTGTGCATTCACATTCGGAGCACCACCTATCTCATTAAAAAAAATAGATTAGTTGTACACCATATTGAGGACAATTGAACACAACTAATAGAAAAAGTTAATCTACCTGTATTTCCATCATTGTCCGGAGTTGCAGTCGGAAGTCTTGAACATCTCCTCCCTCGTCTCCTCTCCACATGCTCGAAGTGAGATAGGTTTCGAGTGGTGGACGTCCTTGGGCGACCGGGGCGGGGCTATCCCCCATGCGGTTCATCAATGCCATCATTTTCAGGATGAAGATGGCTCCGGAGTAGACCGATTGCACCTCGAATGGTCTCGTCACCTCTATCAAGAACCTCCTGTACTAGACCTTGGAACACACCACGGTGGTAATCGCTATGGTCATCCCACTCCGGCCGAGTAGGAGGTTCACGATAGTTGATAACGGTCCAGAATGGCAACACATCATACAAGGCGAAATCCTGATTTTCACGTCGTGCTAACTGAATGGAACATCTACATGGGAGACCATAGGTAGGAGGAAACGTACATGTACAAGGTTCCCCTTCCACTGCTACCTCGAACAACATCAACCTCAGAGCTTCTAGAGTGACTTTCGTATTCAACTCTCGAAATGGTTTTCCATCCGCTCGGAGCAGCTTCTTTTGTCGGGAATCCTCTAGAAGCTTCCTGATTTGAAGGTGTTGAGCCTCAATGTAATCATCGTTCTTCTTGAATACCTACCCAAATGAAGAACAATTAGGAGACTACTAAAACTTATGTGTGCATAATGAAGATTTATTAGGAGACTAACCGTGTCGACTGCGCCAGTAGATGATTGAAGCCACTTCTTGAAGGAGGAATGGGCAGCTTCAACCCTATTAGAGCTTGTGTTACCCAAATGCCGCACTTGATTGGTATAAAATTTAGCCCACATGTGTCTAACTGGTAACCACTCAGCTGCCATATACCCCCAAAGACGTCGGTACTGTACTCCCCAACTACGTCTGAAATTGTCTAAGGCAGTATCCATGTCTTCCACTGTCAATGCATATACAGCACGTTGCCAAGACGCCATGATATGATCCACTGTCGGTTTGGCTGCATCTATACCACAATGAGTCGTCCTTTGCACCTCCGCTAGACACTTTGCTCTCACATTCCTATCTATATGCCAAAGACATAATATATGAGTCGATGATGGAAACATTACCCCCACGGTCTCAACCAATCCTCCTGCCTTGTCACTGACAAACACATCTGGAACAATGGGGCCAAGAAGATGTTGCAAATGCGTCAGAAGCCACTGGTACGACTCCTTCGTCTCGTCGTACACTATTGCAGATGCAATGACAAAGTTCAATCCCACTGGTGTCATGCCGACAATCTCAACCCAAGGCATATCATACTTATTGGTCTTGTATGTTGCATCTATCACGATCACATGGTGCCAAGCTCGCAACATCACTATTGACTCAGGGTGGGCTAGGAACAAGTGTGTAAGCACGTTACGATCGTCCATATACTGCACATAGTAACCCTTCTCCTGCGCCATGCGGAAAGTATATTGTAAGGCTGTCATCTGACCAAGCTCTTCTTTCCTTATCTTGTGACACTCGTTATAAATCTGCTTTCTGTTGTGTGTTCCATTTGCACCTTTTATGTCATTCACTGCCTTGTGGATATTCCTTGGTGGGACACCGGCTGATCTCAGCTCTCTGATGTATTGCTTATCCTCTGTAGTCAAAACATTCCTTCCCTTTGATCCCTCCGGAAATAGCTCCAACTGATGATTGTGGAAACCCAAATTAGCACCAGGACTCTTTGTATTTGCCACCCCTAGGATCAACCAATATCCATCACCGGACCGCTCAAGCTTGATCTGAAACTCGCACCCCAACTTTTCAGTAGATGTAAGAGGCCTCATTTCCTTACTCGGATCAGGTTCCTTCGACTTCTTCTTCCTACCATGAGTGCAATGTAAGTAATGTCGCCAAGTACCTTCATTCTTATTTTTTTTGTTCGATGCCCTCACCAAATAAAACCCAAAACCCTTGGCAATCTCAGTAGCTGCTTCATATGCTTGCAACTCCGTAGTGTATTTCACGCCATCAATGAAATCCGAGGTGTAATCACGGCCATCCGGATTGTAACTTCCAATATTCTGCAATGTTATCAGAATTTATAAGTGATACCCCGCAAATTAAAAAAAAAACTTAACATTCTATATCGTCAATTTAACGAGTACCATATGATAAATTTAAAATTTCATAACTATATTAAATTTAATAATCATCATAACTTCATATGCGAATCTATTATTTATGCAATAAATTTAATCTTAATTTGTAATGCAAAATCTTATCTTAATTTTCTAGATTATGACCAAATTAAATCTAATCTTAATTTAAGGCCAAATCTAATCTTAATTTCTAATGCTAAATCCTTCAATTCCAAAAATAATTATGCAAATAAATCTAAAAAATTATATAAATCAAAACCCAACAAATTATTTCATGGAACAAATCATAAATCATATAAAAAATAGAAAATTATTCAACGAAAAAAAACCCAAAAAATGCCCAACCGCAAGTGACCTGCGGTTGAACCATGGCTGAACCGCAATTGACCTGCGGTCGGGCCATGACTGTACCGCAAGTGACCTGCGGTTGGACCATGGCCGAATCGCAGCTCAGTTGCGCTCCAGCCATGGTCCAACCGCAGGTCACTTGCGGTCCAGCCATGGTACAACCGCAGGTGATTTGCGGTCCAGCCATGGTCCAACCGCAGGTCACTTGCGGTTGAACCATGGTCGAACCGCAAGTGACCCGCGGTTCCCATTTTCTGTGTTTTTTTTTTCAGTTCATGTTTTTACCTCGTCGGAGTCACTACTCATGATTCAGACGTCCTACCGACGATATCGGCTTTAAAATGACGATGATGGATTTTTCTCTCCTTAGATAGTGTTTTTTTTTAGTCCAAGTGATGTTTGTTTGAGGAAGGGAAGGTAAAGAAGTTAAGGGGGTTAAAAGTGTAACTTTGATTCTTTTTAGGGCAACCTTTAGCAATTTTAAGGGCGACCTTTAGCAACTCCCATATTGAATGGTGTGAAAGTTTTAAAATTTAGCTATATATTTCATTAATAATTAATTAGCTTCTCTTTCTATTCCTCCTTCCCGTTTCTCTCCCTAATCTCATCACTAATTCCACCCTTTACCCTTTAGATTCAAAAGAAAAATAATAATAATAAATTAAAATTAGAAATAAAAATAAAAATAAAAAAAGAAGAGAGAGAGAAGAATGAAGACTATTCCTTTCTTTCCTTCTTCCCATCCCAGTCTTCTCATTTTCATTTGTTGCCATTGGTTTGAGATTTGTACCTGTCATTTGTCAAGCCAACTCATGAACGCCCTCCCCTCAGATCCCTCAACTCCTCCGCCCTACGCAATTCCCTCCTTGTAAGTTGTCTCTCTCTCTCGGCAACCTCCGTCGATCCTTTCCCTTTTTTCTTTGTCTTTCTTCCTTAGTTATTATTGCTATTATTATGCTCAGCAAACCGGCAACGGCTTCTCAATCATATCTTGGATTCCTAATCTCTTCCTTTCCTGCTGTATGCTCTTCCCCCTCTTCTTTCCTTTTTCTCGCCGCCTATTTTCATTGTGATTATTATTATGATGATGTAAAGATTAATGTCCTTTTGTTTTATGGATAAAATATGACTGGCATCATGATTGACCTCAAAAGTATGCAATCTTTCATCCTTTTGCTTTCCTTCTTTAGCTTCAGCTTCCGATTCCATCCCCTTTAGTTCCTGCATAGCTGCGATCCGATGTTCTATATAAGATTTTCCTTCCTGGGTTTCTTTCAATTGATTGAATGAGCTAGAGACACCCCGCTTTACAAAGTTGCTATCTTTAGCTGATGTTTCCCCCCTTGTTTGCTCAATTTCGTGGAGCAGCTAATCAAATTTTGATGACAACAATAATACACTTGGATGAGTGGGGCAAAGCGTGAGGTGAATATATTTAAACAGGCAATTGCGGTTGTTTGATGGGCAACACTTGCCGTGGATCTTTCAAAGGCAAACTGTATCAGGGCTACACTCAGCCCGAGGATCTCTCCAGAACTTCAACTTCCAGGCGCAACCCTTCTTCTGATCACACCAATTCCACCTTCGCCACCCCTGATTTCGTCACCACTCCTAACCCCAACAACCATAACAATTTGCCCATTTTGAGCCCCACCAAGGAAGTCACCACCATGAGGCGCACAGGACTCCCAATATTCGCGACCTCTACAACTTGGGGCGCAAGTTGGGGCAGGGCCAATTCGGTACTACTTACCTCTGCACTGAGATTTCCTCCGGGATCGAGTTCGCTTGCAAATCCATCTCCAAAAGAAAGTTGATCGCCAGAGAAGACGTCGATGATGTTCGCAGGGAGATTCAGATTATGCACCATTTGGCTGGTCACAAGAACATTGTCACCATTAAAGGTGCCTATGAGGACCCTTTGTATGTTCACATTGTGATGGAGCTTTGCTCTGGTGGGGAGCTGTTTGATAGAATCATCCAGAGAGGGCATTACAGCGAGAGGAAAGCCGCTGAGCTTACCAAGATCATTGTTGGTGTTGTCGAGGCTTGCCATTCTCTTGGGGTTATGCATAGAGATCTAAAGCCCGAGAATTTCTTGTTGGTTAACAAGGACGATGATTTCTCTCTCAAGGCCATCGATTTTGGGCTCTCTGTGTTTTTCAAACCAGGTATGTATTGCAGTTAATGATTACACCAAGAGTAGTATAAGCAGTCCATTGAATTGAATTTCACATACTATTGGGTTCTGCCTCAGGTCAAATTTTCACTGATGTTGTTGGAAGTCCATATTATGTTGCACCAGAGGTGCTTCTCAAACATTATGGGCCAGAAGCTGATGTATGGACAGCTGGTGTCATTCTGTACATATTGTTAAGTGGGGTACCGCCATTTTGGGCTGGTAAGTGTCATTGTAGCAATGTCTCATGACTATAGGTCACTTCAATAGTGCAATAATCTGAAAGGGTTTCTGATGATGGTAATTCAGAGACACAGCAAGGAATATTTGATGCAGTCTTGAAGGGGCATATTGACTTTGACTCGGACCCATGGCCGTTAATTTCAGAGAGTGCTAAAGATCTCATTCGAAGGATGCTTTCATCCCATCCTAAAGAACGATTGACTGCTCATGAAGTATTGTGTATGTGATATCTAATTACTTAAGTTCTTTTGTGTTGAACATTAGTTACATATATACTGATGATACTAAATTAGCACTTTATTTAACTAGTAGTTTCCGCAGTTCCATAAAAATGCTTGCTAACCGCATTAATGTTATGATATCCCAGAACTAGGGGATGTTTATTTAAAAGCATGGCTTTACAGAGGCATAACTGTTTCATGCAGAGGAAAAATACTTTTGCAAGCTCTCTGTTTTTTTTTTCTGGATTTGTTACTGCTGCTTTTTATAGCAGGTTTGTCATTTAATACTACTAGATATTGCTAAATGCAATTATCTTGCTTGGAAAATGTTACTACCTTTGCTTCCTTGTGAGTTTGTAGACATGCTGAGTTTTTTTTTTTTTTTTGCTTAATTAATTAAGGTCACCCTTGGATCTGTGAAAATGGAGTTGCTCCTGATAGAGCTCTTGATGCAGCTGTACTCACTCGTCTCAAGCAGTTCTCAGCAATGAACAAACTAAAAAAGATGGCTCTACGGGTAAGTGGCTAAGTTTATGTATGGAATGAGCTAGAAGTTATTCCTTGAGCTCGGTTAAGTGGTGGGGTTTGGAATTCGATGGAATGAGAAATGTGACAGGAGAAGAATGTGGACATTCCACTGTTTGGATGCATTTTTTAAAGGTGGAATTTCGGAGATGGAATGAAATTTTCACCATAAATATGAGAGTACAATGTTGCCCATGTTTCTTCTTACAAATCCCTATGTAGTGTTATTGTTCTACAAGTTAGATGTTTTTCAGGGGAATTTGAATAAAAAGGATATAGTGGCATTGTTCAATGCATCCTGTCCCACCCGTAGAATTCACATGCCAATGATTGTGAGGGCTTCCATCGAGCTTAAAGTAGTCATCCATGCAAAGGAAAAAGTGGCATTCCATCATTCATTCTAGGGAAATCAGGTCACATACCATGGACAAATTCTGCCATCCAAATGACTAGGCTACAGAATGTACAAATTCTGCCATCCAAATTATGTACCTAAGTTATTCTGTTGCCTAGCTACAGAATGTACAATTAAATTTTATAAGGGTTATAGCCTGCTGATAAACTTAATTTCATTATTTATATTACCTCTTGCAGAGAAAAGTTGAACCAATTATTTTATCCCATCTGTGGAACCTATGTTACATGATTTCAGGTGATAGCTGAAAGCCTTTCGGAGGAAGAGATTGCTGGTTTGAAGGAAATGTTCAAGTCTATGGACACTGATAACAGTGGTGCAATTACGTTTGATGAACTCAAAGCAGGTTTAAGAAGATATGGCTCCACCATGAAGGATACAGAGATACGTGATCTTATGGATGCGGTAAGATGGTTGCTAAGGTCTTCTTACCTTCCACCTTAAGAGTGAAAGTCATATAAAAGCGAGACAGTGAGAAACAAGTGGGAATTCTTTTAGGAGATTGCTAGTGGTTTCATGGTCAGTCCATAACTGACATTTTCTGCTTCTAGCTGGTGGATTGAGTGGGGTCTTACAGAAGTGAATTTGAGTTTCTTAGGAGTTGGGGAATGTTATATGAGAAATGGATCTTGAACTAGTTGCTACTACCATTTGCTGCAAACTATTAGCATTTGTTTAGCCCTGGATATGTTTATTAATGATTTTCAGGCTGATGTGGACAATAGTGGGACCATTGACTATGGCGAATTCATAGCTGCGACAATCCATCTCAACAAATTGGAACGTGAGGAACATCTTGTTGCTGCATTCCGGTACTTTGACAAGGATGGAAGCGGTTACATAACAGTTGACGAGCTTCAGCATGCATGTGCCGAGCAGAACATGACTGATGTTTTCATTGAGGATATAATCAGAGAAGTTGATCAAGATAATGTACGCAAGCCCAATAATAGATAAACGCTACTGTATCACTTTCCTTATTCATACTTCTTCATTTCTGAAACCCTTTCCTATCAAAGGTTACCGAAATTGCTGAACTTTATTTGACTTCAGGATGGAAGGATTGATTATGGTGAATTTGTGGCGATGATGCAAATGGGGAATGCAGGAATTGGTAGACGAACAATGAGGAACAGTCTAAATTTGAGCATGAGGGATGCACCTGGTGCTCAATAATGCATCATCGCGACACCAACTTGTACAGGTACTCTAGTAAAGCTGGGGGGAAGTATACTGTAGAAGAGTGGTCTTCATTTTAGCAGTTCCCTGTAATCTTGGATGTATTCTGACTGGAGATTATTTCAGCAGGCAGTAGAGGAGATGGCCTAGGAGAGAGCACTGACAGGAGAGACAGCCTCCTCAAATTTTCATTTCCGGCCTGAGACTGTAAAAGAAAAGAAGATTTGGATTGGAGGTTGGAGGCCCTGCAGTCGAGAGCTAGAATTTGCAATGGCTGGCTTGGAGGGAGACATGTATGCATAATAATCTAAATTGATGGGAGACTGAAAAAGAAAGAGATAAAGGGTAAAAGAAACAGGTTGTTGTTGCATTTTGTAAATCCGAGTGTGAATTAAAGAAGTATTGCTACTGCTACGGCCTCCTCGCTCTGCAATTGTGGGTTTCGTAAGGAACGCTTGTTAAAGAAAGCTTTTGTTTCCCGTTTGTACCGATTTTTTTGCAAGCTATATCTCCCTAGTTTTTATTGGACTTCATCTTCCTCTTTCACTGAAATCGTGTCTGTATCTGTGTTCTTTTTTTTTCCTGGGTTTTTTTGGTAGAACAAGTGTGAGATTGTACTCTCCTCCTCTGGCCTGGTGAGGGGGGTTTTAGTAGAGAGAGAGAGAGAGTGTGCTGCAATTTGTCCTTGGAATCAATTTTTTGGAGCATTGCAGTTGCTTGTGGATGAAGTATTGTATCAGATCCTGAAAGAAGAATTGTTCATTGTATTTTGACTGCTAATATCTGCCTCTTAACGCTCAGCCCTTGTATTTTGGTTGTTGTAATGTTTTAACTAGGATGTTATTGCCCGCGCTCTGCGTCGGGATTTGAAGTATTTATTGAATCAGCTTGGATTCCAAATTTCTTTTCACATATATTTACAACATAGTTGATGGTAGAGACTGATTTAAACAATTAGAGCAAACACACCATTTAAATTATGGTTAATACAATTTAACCTCAAAAGCAACAACTATAACCACCTAATCATGTAAGACACCAATAGATAGAGCTGCTTATCGCAATTTCTACAACCGAACATTTGGGAGAACTATTGCACAATACAATCAACATGATAGCATGCGATTTCGAACAGAAAACAAAAGACCAGGCGCCCATTTCCAACCTTTCACACCCATAAATAGTGAGGCTCATATATTACATAACTAGATACTTATTAAAGTAACAATGTGCTTACTGTTCCATAAGGGTTTAACTAAAGTATTCTACTGTCATTTTTTCTCCCTAACCTCCCAGCCATTTATCAACACGTGGGGATGTAGTGTGGACAAATCCCTCCTCCTTCTCTGAGAAAGAAAAGATGTAAAGTGAATATACATCATCCATCCATCATAACTTTAGCCATATCTGTTAATTGATTTGCCCACAATTTTGTAAGAAGAAAAAAAAAAAGTTCCAGCCATAATATTAGCCAATAGCTCACAACAGTGATTGTATTGTTTACACATTATTAATTATATCAAGCATTCTTTTCGAATGATATATACTCTTTTTTTTATAAGGTGATATAAGTTTATTTTTTGTTGTTTATTTACTACTTAAGAGATTATTTTTAGGGATTTTTTTTTAGGGAACTACTTAAAAGATTTGAACTTGAGATCTCCAGGTTCAAACCTAGTGGTTATCACTTATCACAAGACCAAACCCCTGTTCGTGCTCCTTCTCTTCTTCACCAGTATGTTTTTTTGTATTTCGTCTTTCGTCGTCGAACAAATTGGGAGAATCTACAACAGAAAGAGGAAAAAAAAAAGAACTAGAGGGTTGTCGATCTGATTTAGCCCGTTGGTCCAGTCGAGCAAGTGGATTGAGGATTAATGGTCCAATCGCTTTAGTTCGTTTTAGCTCAGATATATGAAAAAGTCATTACATTGTTTCACACATTTATAAATTATATCAAATCTCATATAATATATGAGTAATACTAATATTATATAGCATTACACCAAAATAACATGTCATATTTAAATCCAACACACAATGAAAATGAAAATTCACACTTATGTAACAAAGATGAATCACTAATTGGTCATCACAGAGAATAACTACAACTCTTATTATTATCCTAACAGTTACAGACATGGTAACCGGTCCCAAACAAAAGAACTTGCAGAGTTACCAAAAGTATGACTCTCTTCATGTCTAATTACTCCTAACGTCCATAAAGTTTGATAATGGATTTATTGCATGAAATTGATAATGGCTTTATTGCATGAATAGATCCATATTGTGAGTTGATCATTAACACAATAATGGTTCCAACAAAATCAATCTAAGGCCGCAGCAGAGTGCGGCCAAAATCACTAGTAGTTATTAAAGATACATAAATAATACCATAAAAAAAAGACACATAAATAATTAAAAAAATTATAACCATCAAACTATTCATTAAAATATTTAGCCTAGTCATAACCAAAAGCTCCTGCATATAAACAAAGCGAGGAGACATGGCACCCTGAACTACACCCATTAGCCACATTACTTAACGGAATCAAGTTCCTCTGTCAAATTCATGAGAGATCAACTTTTACCTGCATACAAAGGAACAAATAAACAACAAAGCCAGCATAAGCATATCCTCGCTAATGAAAAACAGCGGACCAGGTTTGATAATCATGTTGCTTTCTTTTAATAATGAGAACCAAATAATTACCCAAAAAAAAAAAAATAATGAGAACCAAAGGCTCAAAATAGTATAATCAAACAAAACACCACAAAAAAAAAAAAAAACAAAGAACAAAAGAGAAAATCACATACAGAGAGAGCTTTCAGACTAATAATTAGCACTTTCCACCGCAAGCAACGCCTAAAATGCCGGTTGAAATACACTCAAAGGAAACTACTTGCAGTCCTTTGTAAAAATCATATCAAGCTCAACGTTTCTGGGTATAAGCTATAAAAAGGTAAAATCAATGAAAGATAAAGCCTACATTGCAACTAACTGAAATCTCCAAACATCACCCATAATCTTGCTCCGTCCAAATTCAGTCACACAAATTCTATTACCAAATGACCATTGAACCTGTGACAAATGAACAATTAGGTAAGCCAACACCAGCAAGAAAGTTATAGATGCATGAATCATGTTATTTAAATGAAAAGTTCACCGAGCTGTAAATAGTGAAGAAAGTGTAGGGTCGATGATGCTCCGTGATCTAACCCTGAGATGCATAATTTTCGATAGGACAGCCTAATGGACTAAAAGATACTGTCTAGCTTTATCAAGGACTCCCACTATTGATTTGTTGAAGTAAATCTGATACACTGGAAGAATTACCATTTTCAGCAAGCAATGATCTGTGTCAAATGACCCCAATTTCCTCCATATTTAACATAATTACTTAGAGAATCAAGCTAGGAAATTGAAAGACACAATAACAAACAAACCATGATAGGACCAGATGATCACCAAAAGAGTGGATTGTTGAAAGAGCCCACCAAACTCCCTCCTCCGCTTGGTCTGCTACTGTAAGAGAGGGGATTTGAGTGATTTCTCATCAATTGCAAATCCATCATCGTTCACCATGGAACTCAAAACACAGAGAGATCAAAATTGTCATTGATTAGATAGCCAGGGGAAAATAAAAGAACAAACTGAAAGCAAAAGAAAGAAACACCCCACGAACAACATGCAAAAGCTATGAACTAACAACATCATTTTATGGGTTCGTATCCAATTGATCCCTTCTCCTGATTCATTCAATCATAAGAAAACGCTAACATAAATAAGAGAAAAGGAAAGTGGATAATATAATGATGATGGTCTACATAAGCATTGTATCCACATTATGAGAACCTAAGCAGAAGAACCATGATAGTGTTATGATCCAATCTGCAAGGCATATGATTTCAGTTACTATCGCTTGCTGGTGAATCATTGAACTGCCTACAGTTAATGAACAACCAAAATATATTCATGAAAGAATCCTAGGACGAGAGAACCATGACACCATAATCACCAAAGTTCAAACATCGTATAGAAAATAGAGGCTGTGCAACAGATTCTTGTATCCTCCGTTTTAGTTCTCGTAATACAATCTAAGACAACATCTTACTCCAGTTGTGAATCATTTGCAGCACGAAGCAGAAAGGAGAACATAAAGCAAACCTTGGTAGGAAAAAAAAAAAAAACGAACAAAAACAACACGAAGCAGTAGCGGAGCTTTGCTCACAGCTTTACTGTAATTTTTTACAAATTCCATCCACTCAATTATAGGGAAATCCAATCAATACCTGCAAGCAATGTGCACCAGCAAGCCCGACATTAATCTCCTTAAACTGTTGCTTCACCCTCCATCGCGAAATCCAAAGCACATGATTGTTGTCAAAGACTGCAAACAAAAGTTGTATGTGAAAAGAGAACGGGCAAAGATAACTGAAGGCAGAGACAGGGGAAGAAGAGAGACGGAATGAAACCATCTGGTAGAGCTATTAACCATCAATGAGGACCACGATCATTCTGGTATGGGCTTAGATAGCGTCACAACCCCTATGGGATTGTGATTTTCGCTTCCTCCTTCGCAGCTATTAGATCCACCCTCTCTCTTGATTTTTCAAATTAACGGTTTAGATTAAATAAAAGATATTTTTGGAAGAGAAAAACTTACCACGCATGATCCTTTCTCATTTTCTATATAATCTGATTTCCTAAAAGAAAAACCTCTTCCTCTCTCCCCTCTCTCTTCCCTCTCCCGAAAACCCTAACTGCTCTCTGTCTCTCCCTCCCGTCGTCGTCGCCGCCGCCGCCGCCACCCCATCCCGTCGCCACCGTCGTCGTCTCTCCCTCCCGTCGCCACCACCGCCATCTCTCCCTCCCGCAGCCACCGTCTCCCTCCCGCAGCAGCCGTCGCGTCCTCCGCCTCCCACCACTGCCGCGCCATAACGCTCTCCTCGTCGCAGCCCTCTTGCCTCCCTCCAACTTCTGTCACCGCCATCTCTCTCCCGCCGTCCTCCTCTGGCGCCGGTAACGACCTCTCCCCTTCCTTCTCCTTTCCTCATTCCTTAATTTTATTTTTCAGATCTGGGATTTTCCAGATTCCAGATCTTGTTTTTTTTTATGTTATTCTCTAGTGGTACTGATTTCTGTCTAGTGGTACGCTACCAGTGGTAGTGGTAGCGTACCAGTACTCAGTGATAGCGGTACCAGTGAGTAGTGATACTGATTTCTGTCTAGTGGTACGCTATCAGTGGTAGTGGTATCGTACCACTATTCACTGGTAGCGGTACCAGTGGTTGTGGTAGCGTACCACTACTCACTGGTAGCTGTACCAGTGGTATTCGTAGCGTACCACTACCACTAGTACGTACCACTACTACTGGTAGCGTACCACTAGATTAAAATCAGTACCACTAGCACACTGACGGAGTGATTTTTTTGCAGATGGCCGGAGCGAGTCTGATTGGAGGATTTCACCGGAAAAAGTCGTCGGCCGGAGAAAGTTTGGCGGTCGGAGTGAAGAGGTTGTTGGAAGAGAGAGAGAGAGAGAGATAAGCGTATTAATTGTAAGATTTAAATTAAAAAAAGTATTTAATCTGGGTTTTTAATTCCCAATGTGTAATTAATACAAAAATAAATAAATAAATAATAAATTCTATTTTTTTTCATACCCAAATTGCCCTTGGATGTGAATCTCACATTCCTCTTATGGGAAGTGACGGTAACTCATCCCTTCTGGTATGGCATCAAATCTATGAGCCAAAGGGAGGAGATATGATTCAATATTACATTAACACACCTAAAATTATTTTGGCCTGAATTAAATGCCCCATTAATTATTCTAGGCATTTGATTCGATACCGCGGATAAAAAAACGGTGTTGTTTGGAGTTGAGCGGCACCGCAGT